CCGAAGAGCATAAGGAAAATCAGGAGAGTTTATAAAATTAAAAATTAAAAAGAGCAAAGAAGAAAGAAAGAAAGAAAGAAAGAAAGAGAGAAAGAAAGAAAGAAAGAAAGAAAGAAAGAAAGAAAGAAAGAAAGAAAGAAAGAAAGAAAGAAAGAAAGAGAAAGAAAGAAAGGAAGGAAGAAAGAAAGAAAAGCAGTTAAACTAAAAAGTGTGCTTAATGCCTTATTTGATTTATATTCTGGCCCAAGTTCCATATCTCATCGGGAATGAATAGCTACCAATTCAGAGATGGGCGCTGGTGCATGGACCCTGCGGACCCTCAGGTCACAGCCACGGTGACCTGAGCAGCAATATCCTTAGCAGCACTGTGCGAGGAAACTAATCCAGAAACCACAGCTTCTTGGAGTAAGAGGAATGAAAACAGATGAGCACAAAAGAAGCAAATATTTTCTCTTTTCATTCATGTGCAGCTAACTTCAAAGATTTGTTTATCTAATTTATTCTTTCTTCTCTTTATAGTCCTTTCCAATCTTAACTTTTCCCTGTAAAAAGACAAATAAAAGAATACCAAAACAAAACCAAACAAGCAACAAGAACACCACAAAGAAAAACATTTTGCATAGAATCAGAGAGCTAGAAGTCTTCAAAAAATTAGAAAAATGAGGCCTCAAAAGTTCAGTAAAATTTGAAAGTCATTGTGTATACGTAACCTGCTTCTGAAAAGAGATGTGCAGAAGGAGACACAGGTGGTGACAGAGATCACAAATCGGGAAACCAGGACACCCCCTTTCCAACTCCCAATCCATGCTACTCTCAACTAACAGGAGGAAAGCAGATGAAAAATTATTCAGTTTCTTTTGTTATCCAGAATTTTTTCACTATATGAATCAAAATATGTGCCAAGAAGTGTCCAGTGGGCAAATAGAAGAGCAAAGCTGACAGCGATAATAAAGCGTTATGGGGGCAGAGTGAAGGATCTTAGAAGCTCATTTCATTCAACTAGGCCAGCTTTGTTGGCAAGGAGTCTTTCTGAAGGTCTGACACCAGCATCCAAATCAATATTCTATTCCACCATCAAATCTTTAGGGCACAGTGCTCTTAATCTAGCACCTGGCTCATGGAAACCACAGTCAATAAGCTCACCAAGGACTTTCTCATAAGGGATCATTAGAACGACAGGTGGCCAAGGCGTATGAGGGGCATGACAGAGGGTACAGATTGAGTATTCCTTATCGAAAATGCTTGGGAGCAGAAGTCTTTTGAACTTGTTCAGATTTTGGAATATTTGCACAAACATAATGGGATATCTTGGAGATGGGACCCAAGTGTAAACATGAAATTCATTTATGTTTCATATACACCTTATATATGTAGCCTGAAGGTAATTTTATACTATATGTTTAATATTTTTGTGCATGAAACCAAGTTTGTGTATGGGGGGAACCATCTGAAAGCAAAGGTGTCACTATCTCAGCCACCCGCGTAGACAATCTGTGGTTGTTTGGCATTCCCACCACTCCTGATGACTTTCTGTGCTACTGATAAGCAGTCATTTTCTTACACTTATTCATACATGAGTACTTAACAGTAAAAAAATATATATATATATATCTCACATGCCATTAATGCAGTGAAAAAGCCATGTGCTCAGAGTCACTAAGCAGCAGAGTGGTATCATCAGAGTCCCTGCATCAGCAACAAGAAGTAGTGGCAGGCTTCAGGCTCCACCTGTGATGCTGTGTTTTGAGTAAGTTTACTGTGCACTGTTGCATCATGTCTACACTCAAAAAATTTTAGATTTTGGAGCATTTCAGATTTTGGATTCAGATTAGGGATGCTCAGCCTCTTATTGGTAAATATTTTCTTTTTTAAGCCTGGTGCCATTCACATGGGTGTGTTCAAATCGAACACATAAATAACAAATTATGTCTTTATGATTTGTGTACTTTTCTATATGAATGGTAAAAATGCTTTTTAAAGGAAAAAAATTATGTGCCAGGTGTAGAGAAGAATGGGTTATAGCGAGGGAGGTCTACTGCTTTTTGGATGAAGTATTTGAAGGCTTCCCTTTTCACATCAAAATATGCAGCATTATAATCTACCAGTGTAAATAATAAGTTTTAAGAATTTAAAATTAGACAAGTTTAAAAAGTGTATGAACAAAGATATATTCTGTAGCTAAGTGTTGGAGCTACTAAAATGTCCTCGAGTCAAGGGTTGGTTAAATAAATGGTGGAAGAGTCATACAATGGAGAATTCTGACGTTATTAATTTTAAAAGGACTCTATTTTCTAACATGGGAAGATGCTGAATATCATGGCTAAGTCAAGAAAGTAAGCTTCAGAATAGTATATAGTATGATTCTATTTTTACCAAACCACAACTACTACTACCGCTACTACTACTGCTACACACACGTACTATATTATATGCAAAAACAACAAAGCAAACCAAGAGTTTATGCACCAAGCTATTAACATGTTTTTGTTAGAGGGTAGTATTATAAAGTATGTTAATATTCTATTTTATGCATTCCTGTATTTTAATTTTGATATCAAGAACATCTATTGTTTTATAATCAGAAAGAGCAATAAAGGTATTTCTATTAATGCATAAAAATAAAATTTAATTATAGTATATACAGTGAAAATGTTGCTAGTGTTTAAGCCCAGAACTCTTTCTTCTCTTCCCCCCTCCTTTCATTCCTCCTCCTTTTTCTGCACTGTCTATACCTAACACGAATCTTTGAAATGTTTCCTTTCAAAGTTTAAGGCTCTCAGGCTGAGGCCACAAAGTCAATTTTCCTAATAAGGTTTCTTTGCACTTTGAAGTAGAGTTGCATTTTATAGGATGCTGTGAATGTTCTATTTAAGGAATGAGAAGATCATATCCTTCTGTAATGCTGGTCACAGGGAAATTGAAAGTAAATAAGAACCAAACCAGCTTAATTGGCAACAGTTGATAGATTATCAGGCACTTCTAATCAGTACCAGATTACTGTGGCAAATTAATCAGGAAAGCTGTTATTTGAGCTTTCCCTGAAAAGTGAATCTATACATTGAATGTTCCCTGAATGAATTGAGTCAGTGTCTTTTTTTTTTTTTTTTTTTTTGAGAGCTATGGTTTTACTTTGTTGCTTAGGCTAGAGTGCAGTGGCATCAGCATAGCTCACTGTAGCCTCAAACTTTCAATGCCTGAGCTCAAGCGATCCTCCTGCCCTAGCCTTCTAAGTGGGTGGGACCATAGGCATGCACCACCATGCCTTGCCAATTTTTTATTTTTTGCAGAGATATGGTCTTACTATTGCCCAGGCTGGTCTTGAACTCCTGGCCTCGAGTGATCCTCCTGCTTTGGCCTCCTAAAATGCCAAGATTACTTACAGGCATGAGCCACTGCTCCTGGCCTGAGTCAGTGTCTTAACTGTGGTTTAAGTCATCTTCCTGTCTTTCTGAATTTGAAACAGGTTCTTATAGCCACCTATCTTTTGTTTCCTATCAGAAGTTGGATTCAGGTCTGTTATCTTCTAAGTGAACCTTTTAACAACTATTATAGGTTTATATTTTCCATATCCTTTCACTATTACCTATGACACATCAGCATCAAGAATCAAGCCCATAATACAAATTATAAGCCTTGACTAATTTCCATCTTAATATAACTTAATAGATAAGAATTTAAAAGTTAGGAACTCAGGAAATATTAATGACATACCCTGTTCCTGATATAAATTCAGAGCTTTGAAATACTGGCACTGTTTTGGCTGGATTGTGCTACCTCCTGCATACTTTAATGGAGATACCATTAAAGTATGTATGGCTATTTGATGGCTCAGAATCTTTTTATCTTTTGTTTTTTTAATTGTCACACTTAGTAAAAGCTTAATTATGACTGTTTCCTGGTTCCAAATGTGAACATGAGGATGGCCACATTTATAAGGAACTCTTCAAGAAGGCATCTGTGTCATGAGACTGACCATCCCAGAACCCTATATCCATCTGCCAAAAAGCAGAATCAGAACTAAAAGGACCACAGATTTTGGCTTGGAAGTCTGCCACCCTGCCCCTGAAATGACCAGTGCATGCACAGATGGACTTCGCATACTCTAAGTGAAGCCTATGGTATACATCTTGGCTAGAAGGAATCCTGCCAACTCATACTTAAAGTTTCAGTTTCTTCCTTGTTGGGTTACCTACTCCATGAACTAACTTAAAGACTGTATTATTTTTTTTTCCAGCTGTCATTATGGACAATAATGAAAGTCTATAAAAATTAGGCCCATGATGCTAAATATTAATATACTCATATCATAGCACAATATATTCCATGAATAGATATTTGAAGAAAATGGCACTCTTCTGCCACGCTGCTTTTTATTTAATAAATGTTTACTGAATGACTCATGAGTGCCAGGAGCCAGGCAAGTGGAACCTACATAGTAACTAGCATCACAGGCCTTTCAGAAATGTATTTTTCTTTAATTACTATTTTAACAACCCAGATGAGCAAAACACAAAAATTCAGCCATAATTCTATCTTTCACTTCTCCTTAATAACTAATTAAATATAAGTATGCTTATACAAATTCTATACACTTTTTTCAAAAGCAAAGCAAAAAAAAAAAAAGAATATTAAAATACAAGTACAGGGAGAAGAGAAAGCCCAGAGAAGAACTATTATCTAATGAGCTCAGACTGAATCTAGAATAGAGGGTGAATCAGATAATTTTTGGCTGATGGATTAATCTTTTTTTCTTATAATGAATGTAGAACTCCAAGTTTACTTAATGGTTAGTATGATTAATCATTCTTACCAATCAGCTCTGTCATCCCTCATCTGCCCTCATTAAAAAAGAAGAAAAAAGAAACGGAAATCCGGAAAACCTTCACATAAACCCTCTGATGGATTTAATGCCACACACAATCACACTGTCATTTAGCCCTTAACCCCCAAACCTGCTGAATGGAACTAACCAACAGCAAGGGGGATGGAATCCATCTTACCTTCCATCAAGCTTCTTCAGTGAGAACCAGGAAAGTGTGTTGAGCTCTTCAAAGCACTTTGCCTTTATAGAGGAATCAAAAATAATACGTAAATGAGCCTTCCAAACCCAAATAAAAAAAAAATGGAATACCCTACCCACTTTCTGAAACTCAGTCTTTCCAGAATACGTCTCAGGTTGGCAGATGGTTTGCCATCCCCATGCCCAGCATTCGAAGGGGTAGTGGCTGAGGCTGAGGGAGGCTCGGTGACAAGGCAGCCTCACTCCCTTGCACTCCAAAAAGCCATTTGCATTGTAGATCAACTCCTCTTTGATTGTAAAGGGTGTCCTTTGTGTGGTGGGGGACCTAGAGGCCTCTCTACTTAGCAAAATGAAGCACATTCAGTCACCAAAAGATATTTAACAACCTCTATGGGCCAGGTCACAAATAAACTAAAACACCCAAACTAGTTGCATAATTAAGCAAATTAAAAAAAAATAATATATATATATATATATATATATATATATTTTTTAAAGGAGGGTGCATGGGCCGGCAAGACTGCATTACGTGGTAAGCCTTTTAAGACTATCACTTATCTTGCCTCTCGCCTTGTTGACAGGCTGTTGTCTGCACAATGAATCGGGGGACTCTAAAGTGAACAACGCACTAGGAAAACCTCTAGCGGAGGGGTCCCTCGGGCGGCCGGGGACTGGGCAGTAAACTCTCCCGCCGGCCATCTCCCCGCCCTTTGCACCTGCCCCTACCAAACGCGATGGCTCTGAGACGTCCTCCAGCCCTCGGCCCCCGTCATCTACAACCAAGAACCACCGAAGTACTTACTCACTTTGGCAGAAAATTTTCCGAAGAAAAATTAATGGGCAGAGGAAATGAAGGACATTAAGAAACAGACCCCGTCTCTGGAGTCTCTTAGCAAACCCGAGCGCGGTGGAGCCCGGGCATCTGGCGGCTGGAGGCGCGCACGCACAGCCCCAGCCCCGTCCCCGGCAAGACGCTTCTGTGAATGAATAGGTCCTTCTGCCCCCCGGAGGAGGACACCTTGCATAGATATTCCCTTGCTAAATCGGAGCTCAATTTCCTCATAATCCACCACCTAGACAGGGAAACGCAGGCTTCCAGCGTTTCATCAGATCCGGGAAGAGGGGAAAGGTCGCTGGCGCAGTTACCTATACTGGGTTTACTCGGGAAAACACCACTGGGAAACGCAAGTGTTCAGCGCCAGGTAAAACTTCCCCGGATTGGGAGCCACCCGAAGACGGGTGAAAAGACACGCCAGCACCGTAAGGGGTGAAGCCGGCTGTCGGTGCGCGCGTGGTGAGTCTCTGGGAAGGGGGACAGAAGACCCTAGAAATTCAGATAAACGCAAAATAAACACAGGAATGACACCCCCCCTTCCCAACCACCACGAAGGAAAAACCAAACCAAATGCACCTAGAAGCACACTCCGCAAAGTGTAGAACTGTCTACACTAGCATGGAGAAATCAACCTTTGCAGTGGCGGACGCGAGGGGAGACCCTCCCAGTTCCCTGCGTCCAGGACAGAGGCAAGCCATCCTGGGGCCAAGGACGCCCCTCGGGGCTCCGACTGTAGCGAGCGGAGTCACCCCGAGACTCGCAGAGGCGGGCTGCGGAGGCTGCTCGGGACAGTAAGGACGCGCGCGGCCAGCTGCGAAAGGGGTCGATTTGGGGGTGCTCCACAGCTAGGAGCCAAAGCCCCAGGAGCCCGGGAGAGTCTGGGAGGCGGCTCGGGAGGGACAGGAGCCTCGGGGACCAGAGGCTGCCCCAGGCAAGGAGTCGGGGTCCCCTCCTCGCAGGGCAAGTCCACCCCTAGAGCTCGGGACCCTGCAAGTCCCCGGCTCCCGACTCCGCTGCCTCGGCTTGCGGGCCGCGTCGGGAGCCCCTCACTGACCTGCGGGCCAGGACGCGCGACCTCCGGGGCAGGCTCAGGCGCTCGGGAGGAGCGGCGCTCCAGCCTGGGCGATCCGCGCCGCGAAGGCGTGCTCGGGAACGCGGGGCGCACGGCGGGCAGCGCGCGCGGCGGGAGTGGACCCGGGCTGCGGGCTCGGCCCAGCCCGCGCGTCGTCCTCCGCCCCTCCCGGCCCGCGCAGCCAATGGCCGCGATCCGGGCCCACTCCTCGCCGCCCCCCAGCCGCGGCTCTGGCGGGCGCTTGGCGCCGGGACAGCACCCGGCGCGGGCGAGGAGGAGCCTGCGCCACCGTTGAAAAATCCCGGAGGACGAGGAGGCGTTTGCGCAGGGGGCCCCATCTGGGGACGGCAGGTGTGGGGGGTGAACTTTTGTGTACGCGTGTAGGGGGTGCATTTTCTTTGGGGCCCGGGGCCTCTCTCCGCAGGCGAAAGCACCCACTTCTTGCCAAGTTTCTTCTCTCTTAACATCTTTTACGAGTCCCGAGCAGCCCCCACCCCAAACAGCGACCCCCGCTGCATCGTGGCAAGCCCAGCTCTGACTGAGCTGCGTGGGGACATCGCCTCACCCGGTGACGAGCTTCGCCGCAGACATCGCTCACTCAGCGCTTCCCTGTTCCCCTCCGAATCCATGCCAGATCCTCGAATGAGTGGAATAGGATCGCAGTGCATGTCATTGCCGGGGAGATGGGCAAACATAAAAGTCCCCACAGAGTAACGAGCACAGAGTGATGTGTCATAATAGAACTCCAGGGCTTTTAACTGATAGGACTAATTTCAGTTGCCAGTCACCTCTGTGACCTTCACCGGGAGTCCCCCCCCCCTCTGTATTCCTGTCTTTCTACTGGAAAATTAGAGGCTCGGATCACCTGATGTCTGAGGTCCCTTTCACTTTGACATTCAACAAACCTGTTGGCTCGGTGGCCTGGGAATGGCTGAGCCCCTGGGAAATGTCGGTCTGTCTGTCTTTTCCTGGAACTCCACCTGGCTGTGTCGTCTGCACCCTGAGACCTGGCTCCCTGCGGCCAGGAAAGCAAGCCATGCATGGTGGTACAGAACCAGGCTGCCCAAGTCTCAGCGGCCACTTCCACTCGCACATCACTGCCACCCCCCAGTGCCCGGCTCCTGGGCCCCTGTTACTTCTGCCCATGTTCAGCTGTTCTCCAGGCAGAGACAGCCAGGGGCATCTGGCTTAATTCCGTGGCTCTTTGGTAAGTAAGTAAAGACTTTCTCTCCCCCTTCCTTCTCCAGGGCAATTGTGGGTGGGTGTGAATCTTTTCTATGTGGATCCTTCTGTGCCTGATCTAAAATGCAGGAGGATGGAATGAGCTGCTTTGTCAAGAGGGCACATTCAGAGAACTGCTTCTCTCCCAGCACCCTTGCACTGGCATCCTCAACTTCACCCATGCATGTGCCAGCTTGCCTGAGTTTTTTACATCCATCTATTGCCTGCTCTATTATGTACTGGATGAATTTTTTTTTACCTAGCGTCATCATAAGCAATAATATCCATGAAATCACTGGTTTGTGAGACACCAGTTATATTTCAATACACAATGAAATAAAATTGTAAGTCCTCCATGCCACTTAAAAATCATCCCAAATATCACTGGTTGTTCTCACGCCTCACTTTGGGAAACACTGAGGTGTATGAGCAGACGGCTAGACCTGTTGTCCTTCAAGACAGTGGTCCTCAAAAGGTCCTTGTGCGTGAGATTCCAACCCTGTGGTCTAATTCATTCACACTCCGCAAGATTCTAACGCAGTTTGTCCATTGAGAACCCTTGCAGATGTCTTGCAAGTGTCAAAGAATGAAAGGGAACTATTTATTGCCTGGTAGGCATTTTATTCATCCTGGTAAAGCAGTCTTCTTTTCCTTGTCTTAGCTTTGGTGACAAGGGAAGATAAGTTTTCTTTTTCTTGTCTTTCTTAGTTGGCTGTTCTGTAAGGTTTTTCTTGACATTTCTTGAACTATGTTGGTATGCTAGTTTCCTAGGGCTACTATAACAAATTACCACAAACTGGGTGGCTTAAAACAAAGGAAATGTATTCTCTCATAGTTCTGGAGGCCAGAACCAAAATGTCAGTTGGTTCTTTTGGAGGCTCTGAGAGAATCCTTTACAGTAGTCCCCCCTTATCCTAGAGGATATGTCCAAGCCCCCCAGGGGCTGCCTGAAACTGTCGAATAGTAGCAAACCCAATTGCCATCAATTGGAGCACATTCCTGCTCATGTCTTCTACCTACACATTTAAGGCCTTTTCCATCTTAACTAAGCACGTATGCACTGTGGTTATAAATTTTATAGTTCGAGGTGCCACAGCAAAACTAGCACACATTTCTTTTTTCTCTGTACAATTTCACCGATAGAGGATCCATTCTTACCAGAGAGCTTAGCAACTTCAATCTACAATTTTTTTTCTTTCCTTATTAAGTCGAGAACTTTCACCATCTCATTTAAAGGAAACACTTTATGGCTTCTATTTGGCATATCTGGATTGCCAGTGTCAGTACTCATGTGCTTTGTGTCCATAATTAAGTAAAATAAAGGGTCTTTGAACACAAGCACTGCGATCTGGTGACCGGCAATCTGATAATCAAGAGGGCTGCTAGGTGACTTATGGGGCAGGCACATGGATCTGTGACCAAAGGGAGGCTTCATGTCAGGAGTGGGACAGGTAGAAATTTCATCACTCTACTCAGAATGGTATGCAATTTAAAACTTATGAATTGTTTATTTGTGGAATTTTCTATTTAATATTTTTTTGGTAGAGGTTGACCAAAGATAACTGAAACCTCAGAAAGTGAAACCAAGAAAAGTGAAACCACACACTGGGGGGACTTCTTTCCATGCCTTTGTCCTAGCTGCCAGCAATCCTTGGTGCTTCTTGGCTTGTAGGTAGATGCATCACCCCAGTCTCTGCCTCTGTCCTCAAATGATCTCCTTGATGTGTTCCTTCTCCCCTTCTCTTCTAAGGACACTTTCATTGTAGTTAGAGCCCACCAAATCCAAGATAATCTCATCTTGAGGTTCTTAAATTATTATTACTGCATATTACATATTACAATATATCTTCTAGGTGGACATATATTTGGGGGAGGTGCCATTCAATCCACTATAGTTAGTGATTGTCCAAACCCTATGCTTTGGGGTAAGGGTGTTCTGTTACTCCAGGATGACATCGGTAGAACCTGGTGATATTAGACTCTTGGGTACTTGCCAAACTCAACAGAGCCACTTTGTAATTCTCAAAAAAAAAAAAAAAAAATGCTGGCCACTTAAATATGACACAAGGAAAACATCTAAATATGTTTTGGGGAATCTTACTTAGTAAACTCTGTGATTGTATCTGACTCTTCTTTCTCCTTATACTTTGGTTAAGGTGCATTTATAATGTCATCCTCTGTTTGATCTAGTACAAAACTCCTTCCTTGCTTCCAAGAACAGTGAAGAATTGAGGCGGTTAGGCTGGTATGGGATATAAAGCTCCTATTCTCTTTATTTCTTAAAATTCCACCTACAAAATATCAAAACAATTTAATTATCAAAGTTACTCCCATAACATGTCTTCAAAGGCAGATCAGGTGCCACCCAAAGGCCCGGAGTCTGCAGGCAGGGTTTGGAGACAGAGCTTCTAGGCAGCACAGTTATTACCCCCTCCCCTTCAGTCTTACTTAGGGAGAAAAGGGTTGTTAAACAAAGTGTGGAATTTGGAATCTGATGAAAAGTCATTAAATTCTGATGCTACCACTTAATATCTGTGTGACTTAAGCCAATCACTTAACCCCTCTGAGTCTCACTTTCCTTCTCTTTAAAATGGAAATAATAGTGTCCGCTTTATTAAATAATTGTTGGGAGTGTTAAACATACACACACAAACTCACGCATGCATGCACACAGTTCCTAGCAATTGTCCCGCACGCAATATGTGCTCAAAATATTAGCTCCGTATTTCTTCCCTTGCTGCTTTCAAAGCAACATTCAGAATCGCTTTGTCCATTCACTAATTTTCTTCTAGGTTATCAGGAAACTTTTAAAATATTCTGATACTAATACTCCCCGAACAAACTAACTCTCCTCTTACTTTTCCTTTATTGTTTCATCTCTGCCTCCTTTTGATGTTCTCTATCTTCTCTCTCAGGCCTCAATCTCTTATTTCAGGGAGTTCTCTTATTCCATCAACGACGATTTCAGAGATTCATGCTCTATTAAAGGAATTCTGAGAAGAGTATAGGTCATAAAGTTTTTTAGTAAGTTATTACGTATGGAATGTCTGATTTCCTTAAGTACTAAGTTTGATACTCGATATCTCTGACATTTGCTTTGACACTTCTTGCTTTATTTTTATTGAGAAGGTACATCCTCATTCTTTCAAATGCATGGTTTGGCTTGTGATTATCTTTCAAATATTTTTAGAGCAATTTTTGTGAAACCATGGATAAGTCTAAAATTCAAGTTATTTTTGAATTTGAGTTCCTTTGTGAAACCAATGCAGCTCAGACAGCTCAAAATATCAATGAAGTCTTTGGGAAGGAAGTGGCTAATGAACGCACAGTACGTTGATGGTTTGAGAATTTCCATTCTGGTGATTTTAATCTTGAAAATGCACCATGTGGGCCACCTGAGACCAAAGTGGATAATGATGAGCTGAAAGCTGCAGTGGAAGGGAATCCATCTCAACCTATGTGTGAATTAGCAGCAAGATTTGACATTAGTATTTTAACAATATTGGATCATTTGAAACAAATGGGCAAGGCAAAGAAGCTGGTAGATCAGCACTGCGTGAATTAAATGAGCATTAGAAGAGAAATTATCTTAAAGCTTGCCTTTTTGTTGCCGTCACAACACAAAGGCGAACCATTTCTATACCATATTGTTATGTGTGATGAAAAATGGATCCTTTTTGACAATCTCAAGTGTTTGGCACAATGCTTGGATAAAGATGAAGTGTGGAAACACAGTCCAAAATTGAATATTTGTCAAAAAAGCTAATGGTGTCTGCTTGGTGGTCCAGCACTGGTATTATCCACTATAGCTTCATGAAACCTGGTCCATCCATTACAGTGGATGTCTACTGCAACCAACTGGATGAAATGATGAGGATGC